AGGGGCCTCTGGCACTCACTCCAGCCATTCATTCCTTTAAGGTTCACCATCCTGGGTCAAGCAGTGTTCTTTCTCTGTCAGGCCTGTTGGCTGTTGAGTGGGGCTCCCCAAGGCGAGAGGTGGCCCTGGGCCAGTGGGTTGGAAGAGAGGGTGACTAGAGAAGAGGGAAGCCTGAGGGGACTGAGCATTGGTCTGAATTGTGGGTGCACTGCCTGGGTGTCATGGGAGAGGCCAGTGTGTGGGGGCTGGGGAGGGCTGCCACAGTCCCCAGGCACTAACTGCAGAGCTCTGGCTCCTCCATCTTCCTTCCCTTTTCCTTCCAGTCCCTCTTTTCCAGGGACCTTGCCACACCTGCACCTGTGCCCTCCCCTCCCCGGCCCTTCCACAGCTGCTGCAGCACACCCCTGCTCTGTGCTTGCCTCACCAGCTCTCTGCTCACTTTTCTCTCCCCATTTTCTCTCTGCTTTCTCTCCAACTGCCAGCTGATTGGGTCAGACAAATCCATCCTGTCCTGAGAGCCCCAGGCCCCACTTTGACCTCTAAACAGATCCTCCTCTTCTCGGAGGCCTCCCTTTCCAAGCCTGCCTGGGCGGGTGTCCTGTGACTTGACAGTGGCTCCCCAGCCAAACCAGCCCCTTTATGTGTGACTTAGTCTGTTGTAGTGCTGGCTGACACATACCGGTGTGACCGTTCCTGAACTTGTTGCCCCTTCTTGGTATCCTGCCCTGTTTTATAAACTCCTCCATAAATACTCTGTTGTATGCCCTGCCCTGTTCTATAAATATCCATAAATACTCTGTTGTATGCCCTGCCCTGTTCTATAAATATCTATAAATACTCTGTGGTATGCCCTGCCCTGTTCTATAAATATCCATAAATACTCTGTGGTATGCCCTGCCCTGTTCTAGAAATATCTATAAATACTCTGTGGTATGCCCTGCCCTGTTCTAGAACTATCTATAAATACTCATATATATATACACACACCTACACTTGGCTGACCACCTTGCCTCTAGCGCTGGGAATCAGTCACCGTGCTGTCCTTGTGGAATCTTGTGGCCCAACAAGACAAAGCTCTCCGCTGACATTCCCCTCCAAATTGCACCACCTCCAGTGAGCCCTCAAGCATGGGGGTGCTGTGCAGGCACCCCTGTGGCCTGACAGTGTCCACCAGTCTGACTGTCCCTCAGCTGAGAATCAGATCCATTTCTGGATGGCGGGGAATGTGTCCTCTGCTGGCTGTGTTCTCTGTGGAGCTCAGGGGAGGGAAGAGGCCCAGCCATGTCTAGGGTGCTGTTGGGAGTGGTGAAAAGGCCACACCCTTTCTGAGGGACACTTTTCCTGGAAAGCCCCTGGAGCTTAGCTGGCTCTTATCCTGTGAAGCCTGCTCTGGTCACTAGAGAGCAGGGCCATGAACTCAGCCTGGAGGGAGCCCGCGGGGCAGTGGGCACTCTGGAGAAACAGATAGAACTGGTCACGAGGTGCAGACAGGAGAGGGAGGCAGGGGGACAAAATGGAAGATGCCTGGGGTGGATGGAAGTCAGTGCCCTTGAATGCTGGCATCTGCCTTCCGGGCCACCGGTAGATCAGGCTTCTGAGCCTGTTGGCTGTCAGGGCCTCACTGTGCCCCGTAGGCACCATGGCAGCCCCTGTGAAATCCACCAGGTGTCACCAGGCAGCATACAGGTAACAGGCCTGGAAGGTCCCCAACAGCTGAGCTGGACATGCTCAGACACTCTGGGGCTCCTCATTCAGTGACACAAACTCCAGCACCCAGTGAGGGAAACGGGAAAACACCAGGCTGAGCAGTATGGCTAAATCCATTTATTCCAAAATGAAAAGCAAAATAAACAGGAGTCATATCACCAGGGAGCCACAACCCCATCCCCACCTCCTTCTTCTGTCCTGTGCTATCAATAAATAAGTCTCCCAGCCATAAGTAATGACTAGAACCTCCTCCCCATATGCCAGCTCCAACCTCCATGAGGTACAATACAGGGGGTGGTCCTAACCCCTGGAATATACAAAATGTTACACAGATACTATATGTACACTGGGGAAGGGGGGCCACCCCAGCAGCCCGTGCCCTCACCTGTTCTACACTTAGCCCCACTGTCCCGCCTCAGCTGCCTCTGAATAAGAAGACGGGAGCTCCCTTGAGGGAAAAGTTGCTTTGGTGAGAGTAGGGAGGCCATCAGGCCTCCTCCAAACAAACCAGCTCCACAAGTCTCTGGCTCTTCAATAACAAACATCACCGTCCAGGAATGTAAGGGCTCAGCCCTGGTCAAGGTGGCAAAGGGTCTGATTGTCTGCCCCTCATTAGACAGGGATCTTGTCTTGCTACCCTAATGGTAAAGGGGTGACTGGGAAGGGGTGATAGGGACACGGTGGGGGTGAAGATTCCAGCCCCGCTTCTCCAGGCTTATGCTGACAGGGGCCTGCTTTTATTTATTTTTATCCTACAACTTTTTTTTAATCCCATAACTTCTTTTTCATAATACTTTTTTTTAAACTTGTCATAAAGCATTATTCTACTTTTTTTCCACAACACTTGTTTTTGCAACAACTTTTCCACAACATTGTTTATCCCATAACTTTTTCATCCACAACTTTTTTATCCCGTAACTTTGGTTTGTGTTCTTCTAATAAACACGCTTGCACAGTTACAATTTTGTAAAAATAAAATCCGATGATCTCATGCCAAGCATGCCCAGCATTTGCACAGTCTCAATACCTTTAACACCATAGTTTCCAAGACACACAAAATTTTACGGCAAAAACAGCACTTTGCAACAATTTCCTAACTTATTGCATTGCAGTAGCATCACAGTAGCAGTCAATAATGGCACTTTCGACAACAGTCTTTCAGTACTTCCATTATACATTCTGTTGACAGGAATTCATAAATTGGTAAAAGTCATTCTAAGAAAACTCGGCAAATAAAGCTTGGCATTGGAATTGGCATTTCTTTCTCTACTTTTCCTTCCCCCAGGTTCTTTCTATTAAACTACAGTATTGACATTTTAACATGCTTTAACTTATTTTGAAACATTAAGATAACAGTTACATTTTTGAATAGTTATATTATTTTAAAGTGACTCTGTAAGATAAAGTTTTAGAGAAACTTTATTATGGATAGGGCTGATGTACCTTTTCACATTTTCTAAATATCAGCTTTGGTTTTAGAACTGATATTTTTTCATTTCTGGAAAACCTATCAGGTTTAATCAAAAACTTTAAAAATAATGACCATATATTGCAATCTTTAAATAGGTATTTTGATTCTTCTAACAGAAATTCAAATTTATTCAGTTGAACTCACATTTTCAAATTTTATATTTCTGATGATCTCTAACCTTCTAATGTTGCCTTCTAAGCAAATTGAAAGCTGCCTTATACCGAATGAGGAAGAGAACAAATACTTGGCTGAATGAGGTATTGCAAAGACTGCATGCTTTGAAGAAACACTTAAGTTATTGTCATAGGATTTCCATTCTTTTTAGATTTTTCTGAAACATAGGACAAAATCCTTACACAAAGAGTGGTATTTAGAAACTGTACCACTGTTAATTAGCCACACTATTTGGTCTAACAGTTTTTCTTTATCATTCTGAAACTGGGTTTATCCAATACATTGATAAATTCATACAATTTGAAAGAGTCAGTTGAAGGACCAATATTTGTACTCTTTCAGTGAATGCAGGCAAATCTGTTATTTCATCTGTAAGATCATATTATTGCTCTCCTATTAATGTCATATTTATAAAAGTATCATGAGGATGCCAAATGCTAAAAATGGAGATGGTCTAGTAACTAGAATTGCACACCCCAGGGAGCGCACATACATCTCTCCCTACATCCTAATACTGTGATGTATTTTGGAACACAGACATTAGAACTTCATGAAGTTTTAACTGTTGATTCTTTCCCAAGCATCATGAAGTTATGATTTTAGGCAACATATGACTGAAATAATTCATTCATCCTGTATAGACACATAACATAAATATGGCACAAAATATGCCTCTAACTGAAACCGAGAGGTATAAAAACATATTTCACCCTTCGTAAAGAACTTTGTGAGGAAATATAACTCTGTGATTGTATAGATACTTTTAGTCATCATACTTTGACATTCACAAACAGTAGATTGCATTGCAGTTTGTAAATATTTTAAGTTGCATAAACTTCTCCTTGATTTTCAAATGTAGTATAACACTGTCCACTAAAACTGCTTTTTGTTTCAACCAATACTCTCACATGTATTAGTTTATTAAAATGGTTGTTATTATTTTTAAAGTGTTTTCCATTCAAGGAAAAGAAGTAAATTCCTATGGCAGATTAACCAATGTGGCTGAAAAATAGGTATTAGCCAGAGAGGTCTAGATGGTAAAATCAGTCTTCTAGCCTCAAAGAAGCTCCGTGAACATAGAGGAATGCCAGGTGTCACACAGCTTTCCTTCACTCGAATTCATTCTTGACTAGAGCCTGTATGCCTGTTCCAGGGACATTTAAACTCTGAAAGGGTTTCTTATGATCTTCACTAAATACACTAAGAAGAATGCCAAGCAGTGCCCTTTTGTGTACTGGGACATGTAGTCATGTGATTAAAACAGGTAACATGAACTCTGATTTTAAAATGTATTGTGGATATAAATGCTCTAAGCTAGAAAAGGTTTTCCACATCCACAGTCAATGATGGGATCCTTTCATTCCTCAGGAAGAATCCCTTTTTAGGTCATTGAGAAAGAGTCCAACTGCTGCAGCTCATGCTGCGATATCTTCATGAGCCCAGAGCACATACAAATCCTCAGGGAACTACCATAGTACCGCGCTCATTCCTGGCACCAGAACAAATGAATCACACTCTATCCTGTACAACTCTAAATGTCGGTACTCACAATGGCATATTACAAAGTAAGAAACAGTGCGCACTTGAGGACAAACCACATATTGAGCTAATGAAGAGCTCACTGTGATTAGGAATCGATCAAACATAATAGCAGAACATAAGCAAATTTTATCTGAATTCTGTAATGAATATACATGCTGCAATAACATTTAAAAAGCAGGGCAGCCTATTCCAAACCAGTAAAAATAGTTTTGTGCAAATAGTGGATCTTTGTGTGTTTGAACTCCCACCATGTAAGGGCAAACTCGATATGTGAGCTAATGACCTACAATTATCAATTAAAAACAAAAATGCTAACGGATGCCAGAGTGAACATCAGGGAAAGACCCACTCTCCCTTAACTTTTTATAAATAAATTTAAACTGTAAATTAGAAACATAAATAAACATGAGTGGCTCTAACATTCCAATGAAGTAGATGAATTGTGTAGGGGATTAACCCCATAATTTTGGTTGTTGTTTTTAAATTTCTTGACTAGCTCTCAGATGATGATGATGTTTATCTTCCTGTTCTTGGCTGCCCGGTAAAAGAATGGCACGCAGGGTTTGGTGGCCAAGCCTGGGTGCTCCTGGGTGTCCTGCATTACAGGAAGCAGCTGCAGGATCTTCTGTGCAGTGGGATTGTCACAGGGAGAACCCTCCCTGGCCTGTCCCGGTGCAGGCTCCACGCTGTCCTGAAAATCTTCAGAGAGAGGGAGGCGGGGCTCTGAGTACACTGCGAGCCTCCCCTGCTCCTGCCTACCCACCCCGCCTGAGGACTCTACTCACCACCCCGCTCCTCTGCAGCCGCAAGTTCCTGGGGGGCTGGGGCCCCTGGAGCGGGCTCATTAACAGGGTTCTGGGCAGCAGGGAGGAATTTCTCATGCCCCTCGTGGTCGCCCACAACCGGCAACACCATATCTTGCAGCTCCAGCAGCTTCACCTGAAGGGAGGGGTGCTCAGTTGCCACGCCTGAGCCGGCGCCAGCACCCACCCTCACCCCCACCCCCGCAGAGATGTTGCACACCCTCTACCTTCATCTCCTCCTCGTTCTGGGCCAGCCTGCTGGCTTCCTCCTCCTTGTGCTGAGTGTTTGGCTCTGCCCCCTGGCTCTCATATACCGTGATGTGCTCTCCTGTGAGAGGACACGGCTGAGACACTGGGGCCCCTCTGAAGGCCCTGCAGCTCCCCGTGCCCGTGCCCTGGCCTCCTGCTTACTCATGCCATCTGTCGCTCCAGAGAGCTGGATGAATCCAA